TTACTTCTAATGTCGCTTTTCTTGGCAAAAGCCTACAGGCCTGACACATGGCTGCAAAAGACACTGCATAGCTGTTGTCTTTTAGGCGTTCCTGTTAGAGAGGAATAGGCATCGCTACTGGAGTCCCACCCGCAAAGCTGGGAGTAGAGGTAAGGGATTTAAGTAGCCGGGGGCGGAGAAGGAAAGAAGGAAGGAAAGAGATGGGGAGAGGAAAGAAACAAGTCAACCCAGAAAATAAAACCATGTCTCCAACTCCCTGCACCCAGAGTTGCTCTCCTGTGCAAATTAGCTGCTGTTGCCTGAGGGTGGCAAAGAGGAGGCAGGTGCAGGGGGGAGATGGGCCAGCCTGGGCCATGGTGGGCCAGCGGGGTCAGACAAGAGAAGACGGGACAGGCAGCTGAGCACAGATGGTGGGGTGCAGAGGGTAACCCCGCTATCATGGTGCCAAGGATCTCTGCCTTAGCAGACTGTTGGCATGGCCCAGACAGCAACCCTGGAAACGGGCCATGGGTGGAAACCACCTAGGGGTTGTTTTGTGTCTGAGGACATTGCTGTAGGACATCTCACTTCAGTTGCCCAGCACAGGACACTGACTGCTGCAAAGCCCTGCTTGGTAGCAAGGTCCTTCCTGAGCTGGAACAGCCTGCGGAGATCAGCACAGCCAGCCTGGTTGTGTTCAATGCATGCAACGTTGGGGGACAGGGAGCAGAATCTGTGGGGAAAATGGGAGGGATACGGCTAATGCGCCCATCTATCAGATTAGGCTGTCAAAAAATCAAACCACTTCCATCACTGTCCGGAGGAGAGACTCTCGCTTCCTGCTTAATGTGATCGTAGTCCTGTTGTTGCCACTCCTGGGAGAGGGGGCCACTGCCACCACAGTGTGCAGCAGGCTGCGAGTTTAAAATCCTATTAGGCAGAGACTAACAGTTGCAAAAAGAAAGCAGGTATCCCCTAGTGGGGATTTAAAGATGTTTAGACATAATTGGATTTTCCAAGCAGATGTCATTATTGTTAAACAGTTGCCCACTTGATATGTTCAAGTTGTTGGCTGTAATTGCTAAAATTAGCAGGTCTGCATAGAGCAAAGGTCAGTTGGTTAATATTGTGATTTAGTATTTTATGAAGTAATTCCAAATGCTTTTATGTATGTTTTTGTTTTTGCAGCCTAAGCCCACATTAAAGTAGTTGTGGGCCTGCTAATAAAATAATGACTCAGCTGCCCCGTGCAGGCTGCTGACTGGGCTTGGCTGCGCACAGTTGAGCCGTACTCAGTCTGCACTTCTTATAGTGCCACAAGCCAGCCAGGGCCTCGTGCTTGGGTTTGATGCCATATTCAGCCTGAGGCAGGAGGTGTCAAACTGCGCCCCAACCTGATGTATTCAGGGAGAGGAGTCTCTTGTAAGAAGCACATGACATCCATCCGTGGCTAGAAGGGTGAGGAGCTGGTTTCCTTTGGTATCTGAACAAAAGGCCCTGCCTCTGGAGCCTGTGTTCCTCGGGGATGGCCAGAAATATGTGCGCAAGTGCCTTCAGACATGAACACTTCTGAAAGACACACCACTGCCTAGGCAAGGTCCCAAAATATAGCTTTGAGGAGGGAAGATGTATTTTTGTAAGAGGAACAGGGAGCTAGAACTACTATGAGATACAGGCTCCTGGGTTGCTGTGCTGTGGTTGGTCATCTGGCACTGCCTCCTCTGGCTTTGCAGCCGCTAAATGGGATGAGAAGAAGCTTTAAAAAAAAAAAAAATCCGTGAAGTTGTGTATATTTTGCTGACATGCTCAGTGTTAGATTGATCCCATGTTCTGGGTTTTCTCCCAGGTCATGTCGAAAAGGGCTGCTGAGGTTCATTTATCTTTCTCTGTAGCATAGGCACAATGCCTTTCCTTGGTTGGTTTGGGCGCTACACCAGGGCATTGGTAATGCATTTTTACCTGCTCTCTTACCATGAGACCTTCATGGTTGTCTTTTTATTGCAGATCATCTGCTTGCAGGAAGTGCTGAGAGGTGTTTTGTGGCCTAGAGTGCCTAGGGACATGTGGAAGAGCTTCTGTAGGTCCTTCTAGTGCTTGCTGTGTGAGGTTGGTCCCTTCCTGACCCATGTCCCTGTGTTCCTGACAGCAGGTT